GAACTTCACGCGTTCACAAATAATGTGAACTTCACGTGGGTGTGGCCCCCACATAATTGCGGTTCACAAAAAGAACCATAGAACAATATTGCAATTAAGGTGTACATACTTTTTCATTTCTTTACTTTTCTTAAAAATTATAAGTAAAAAAAACTGGTTTGAAGTCTTAATCAGGTGGTTGCCAGAGTTGGTAAACTGGACTGGGTTCCACCGCGATCTGGATCATTAATATTCACCCATTATGTGACAATTGAACCCGAGTCCTGGCTCTATATGCCGTCACACGTTTCGTGCAACTATGACCTATAACGTTTACACCCATACTCAGAGATTGATGTTGTCTATGCCTGTTAACTGCCAGATTGGTTTAGCTTTGAAAAAGCTCTTTGCAGATGGTGTTATAAAGCGGGAAGAACTATTCATCACCTCCAAACTCTGGTTAGTTTTTTTAATCATTTCTTGCACAGTATGACCGACTTAGTGATGGTATGTAGAGAAAACTAACATTATTGATACCATTATTTGACTGTTATAGGTGCACTGAGCACGATCCAGAAGATGTGCCGGTGGCATTGGATACAACATTGAAATGCCTACAACTCGACTATATTGATCTTTACCTTGTATGCTCCTCTCTCTTGTCAACATGTAGATGAATCTAATGCTTGGAATTTTGCCATGCCGATTTCTTTTTGATATAAAAACTTAGACCTAAGGCCCCCAACGTGCCCCTAAAAGTGAAAAGGGAAATATTTACCATGGTTGAGAGAGGCATATGTGAAAACTAACATGACTGACCCCTCAGAAAAAAAGATTTTGTATCCCGTCAAAACAATGTCCAACCAAATGTATGCTATAATCCACCTTATCGAGGATATCAATCTAATCCACAGTACAGAGGATTCGTGAAATTGTTGAAGACAAATGTCTGCCAAATATTCAAGTAGTGTTACCTGGTTGACGATCTATTCATAATCATTACGCTATTGTGTCTTGATTCAATGTTTTAGTTCTTGGCTGCAACAAATAAAAAATTAATTTACGACCCTTACGAATTCTGGACCTTGTTTTCTTCGAAAGTTGCCTTCATCATTGATTTCATTAGAACTTTAATCGTTTACAAATGAATTCAAATAACAAAAATAAAATTTACAACTTTCTTGAAAATAAACGCAAGATCCGTTTATCGTCTCTTGCTTGCGTGGGTCTTTGGCCTGTGACGGGGACGTCGATATCCGTGGACTACCTGGCATTCAGATCTGTTCCGGAAAAATCGGACAGAGCTTCGTCGATCCGCGAGGAGATCTAGAAGCTTGAAGCGCCTATCTCGGCTAAAACGAGATATTTGCTCTTCTTAGGATTACCGGCGAAGGGTAATACTAAGGAAAGGACACGGGTGATGAAGAATCTGATGAAGACCTCTCCTCTGTTGAAGCGCTCGACCACTCTTCACTGCAGCAGGGCTTCGCCAACTCTCCAAAAATCCAGATCTCTCAAAAATGAGGACTAAGGTTGCTATTTATAGGCAATGCTAGACACCCCTGGGGTGTTTTGACTTTCCCGAGACACCCCGGGTGTCCCAGTTCAGCCTGAGACGCTCCGTTGCGTATGTTTGATTGTTTTAGCCGTAAATTCTTCGTCCGAACTCGGATTTGAGTGATTCCAAGTGCGTTGGAAGCTTGACGAAGAGTTCGATCCGCTCCGATGGTTGGATTATCTGTAGAGTGATCGAGACGTGAAGGTCACTGTCCTTTTCGTGAACATCGTAGGGTTCCCGATTGGCCCGTGCCTTCGCTATTCCGAAATCCTATCAGCTCACGTAGTTCGTCGATTCACTTCAATCGTTCATCGACGTCAATCGAACTCCTGTGGATCGGATAGTGACGTTCATCGTCGCTCTTTAACACTGAACCGTTCGTGGAGACCTATAGGCAATTTTCGATGCCTACAGCGATTTGGAAATAAAGGTTTAGGAGAGAAGAGAGAAAATCAAACAATCTCAAACACACAAGATTTACGTGGTTCGCTTCTCAATGTGAGAAACTACGTCCACGGCAGCCGCAGGAGAAAAATTCACTATTTTTCGTCTCTTTACATCATGCCCTAATCAACCCTTTTATATACTTAAGGGTTTAACTAATAAAAAAAGGAAACAGAACAAAACAGGTTAAAATTCGAAACTGGGCCAAAACCCAACTCCGGTCGACCGCCGCACCACGTGCGGTCGACCGCGACGAATCCTATTCCTGATCGAGCTCTCTGGACGCGTTGACTGGCGTTGACCTAGGGTTACGCGTTGACCGGCGTTGACCTTAGGGTTTCGAATCGTCAAACGTTGACTTTGGTCGCAACGCGTTGACTGGCGTTGACCTAGGGTTACGCGTTGACCGACGTTGACCCTAGGGTTTCGAATCGTCAAGCGTTGACTTTGGTCGCAACGCGTTGACTGGCATTGACCTAGGGTTACGCGTTGATCGGCGTTGACCCTAGGGTTTTGGATCGTCAAACGTTGACTTTGGTCGCAACGCGTTGACTGGCGTTGACCTAGGGTTACGCGTTGACCGGCGTTGACCTTAGGGTTTTGAATCGTCAAACGTTGACCTTGGTCGCAACGCGTTGTACGCGTTGATCGGCGTTGACCCTAGGGTTTTGGATCGTCAAACGTTGACTTTGGTCGCAACGCGTTGACTGGCGTTGACCTAGGGTTACGCGTTGACCGGCGTTGACCTTAGGGTTTTGAATCGTCAAACGTTGACCTTGGTCGCAACGCGTTGCTTACCTAACTGACCCTGAAGAAACCCTGGGAAATGAATAAAGAAGGACGAAGGAGATGCTGCAGCAAAAGTCACCAACTACTCCAGGCATGCTATTTGAACAACAAGAGAGGTTTAATCTGTCAATTGAGAACATGTCATGATCACGATCTACTATTTACTTAACTCCATCATTATCATTAACTTATCTTCTATAGTATAGCCTCCAATGGTGACCAAGCGAACGTTGGTTGTCTTGTTAATTTTGTTCGCTTGCCTTGGCAAATCTTTTGGGTGGAACTTGGAGAGCAAAACATGATTTGATTATGCAGCCAGTAGGTTACTCTTCCTACATTTGTATACGTTAAGTATATGGTTGTTGAGCCATTGCATCATCTGACTGTTATTAATTAGTGTGCATAACATTAACAATGAAATCAAAGTATGTACTGCTTGTTACAATCATAAGCACTTGAAGCTCCTATATGTTTAATATAATTGTTTAAAGAAAATATTTTCAGCCATATGCTAGAGTACAAGGATTCATCTTATCCACAAACCTATCATAATAAACGAGACAAAGATCCCTTTGCTCAAAAGTCTGCTCCAACTCTCGAAGTATTTGGCGTCCAATCCCACATATGACATCTGTTTTTAACTTGAACCATTTTTTTTGTTTTCTATTTCCCCTTTCTTATCATAAAGTTTGGGGGAAATGAATAAACAAGGAAGTTCCAAGCAGAAGAGGGCAATAATATATTAACAAACTATTTTTTTAGGAATAATTAACAAGCTATTGGAGGTCTTAAAATCTACAAGATGACATTTAATTCAGAGAGTTTTTAATAGAGAGAAGTTTTTATTGATATTGAAGTTCAACAGAAGTTGACCATAAACTGTTCTCCATTTATAGTTCTAGATGGATAAAAGCTGCAAAAGAAAACTTTTATCAAATCCGAATCTGGCTAAATTTTGTTATAAAAGTATCAATTAAGGAGAATATAAAATATTCTCCACATTTTAGGGAGCACATATATGCTTGGTATAATGAACTTAAAACGTAGAATTACAATGTATCTTGATGGTAAATGAAGAAATGACCATCCTCTAAGATTTTTGTACGGAGGAGTTAAAATCTAATATATCAATGCTTACAACATACTTTATTAGCTCCACAACTCTACAATTAGAAACAATAAGTTGACATATAACAGAAATTAAGCCCTTAACTCCAATATTCAATGTATAAAAAGTAATTACTACAATCCCACAACAATAACCCCCTTTCCCTTCATTAAAACCTTTGCAAACGACTCATTCCTAACTCCTGCAGTCCAAAAAGGCAGTAATCAAATCCAGCCCCATGTCCTCCATCTCTCTCTCTCTCTCTCTCTCTCTCTCTCTCTCTCTCTCTCTCCGTGTAAAGCTCCTCACAATACAAAACAACCTCCAACTCTCAAACTCAATCCCACGGTCACCCTCTCAAGCTCCGTGACCCTTTTCAAACTAACTTAGTGTTCACAACTTAGCCAACCACTTGTTCCTTAAAACTCTCTCCCTCTCTCTCTCTTTCTTTCTCCCTTCTCTTAATGGATCATGACAAGACCCGAGACCCGAACTTGTGGGACTGCGACAGCGCACTCTACGACTCCTTCGAGCTGAGATCGTTCAGGCAGCAACTAGACTCGGCCTTAGGCACCCGATGCCTCTCCATGCCGCGCTTATCGGATCAGTATCTGCACCCAATTGTCCCACCTGTTAAGAAGCGGTCGCGGGTTTTGCGGTCCGTCCATAAGTTTATCCGTGCGGTTTTTCGACTGAAAGGCTCGTCGGCTACGGTCAGAAGGAATATGATGGAGTGTGAGATTTATGGAGGGTACGTGAGCTCGGATAGGTTGACTACTATACCAGAGGGATGCGAGAAAGGGCATGAGTCGTCGCCGGACTTTGATCCTCAGGCGGTGACGAAAACGCTTTCGGAGCGGTACACGAGCTCGACTTCCGGTGGAAGTGAACTCCCATCGTAGTAAAAGTGTGGAGATGCAAAGGTAAAGACTGCGCCGGAGTTGCAAAACTAGCCCTTTTCTTGCTTGTTAAGTATGTCGTAGGCTTGCGCAGTTGGAACTTTTGTGTTATGTGTATTTTGAGACTTTACTGTTCTGTGCTATGTTGCTCTTGCCATCTGGATCATCTGTATTTGACTGAGTACCTAACTTGATTGAGAAAATTGTAATGAGATGGAAAAAAAAGTGGAAAATAAGTCAACCATGAATTGATAAAGAATCGCAATTAAGTATATATTTATTGTGCTATGCGTATTTTTGTCTTAAACTATAGGCATGCAGTAAAGTATCAAATATTCTTCTTGGATTAGGCTTGTATTTTGGTCCACGAATATGTCGGAAGAGTCTGAAACGAATCAGAAAAAGAATTAGTCGTGGTCTTCGACCAGGGATTATGGGCCTTGACACTGCACCCCCAGGCGAGGTATCAGCAGCTGCTCCTACCGTGGGTAACCGTCTGGCTCTTCTGGGGAGAAGGTTACCTCCACCAGATGATAGATGTTATGGTTGGGCTTCCTCACTAGCCAAGGGGTGGTGGGCACGCATGACCAGTTTCGTCTTGGCGCGCTGGGAGAGGGATTTGAAGAGCAGTGGATTGTATGCACCTATACGAGCCACCATGTACGGAATCCCGGTCAGCTGCCGCCATTTCTTGGCGTTGCTAGAGACCTACATGCCTGACAGTAACACCTTCCTGACCAGCGGTGGCGAGTTAGGGTTGGCCTTGCATGAGATGCATCAGGTTTCTGGTCTTCCGATGGGGGATTGTCCATATCAGGAGTATTTTCCCTCGAACCAGCAGTTGGAGTGTATGAAGAAAGATACTCCCGATATGTATGACACTCTCTGGGATCTTACTTGTCATTATTATACTTCCTTGATCCAGACTTCTCCTCAAGCGAAAAGGAAGAGGCAGGTCAGCTTGAAGCAGTTTGCTAGCTATTTATTCCAGAATTTGGAGGGTAATTCCAGCGAGCCCATTCGTGAATTAGACGTGTTGACCCCTACCGCCGTTAATGAGTTGTTGGAGAAGGCTGAGGCTCGTTCTTACACCATTGCCAGTGCTGAGGGAGC